TGATGATGATAATGATGTTTGAATTTTATGAGATTTTAGTTGATTTTATGAGATTTTAGTTATTTGATGATGATAATGATGTTTGAATTTTATGAGATTTTAGTTGATTTTATGAGATTTTAGTTATTGATGTAATTAAGTAAAATTTATTAAAATAATTGAAAAAAAAGAACAACCTAGCTCGGTTTGAACACAGGTTCCACTGCGGAAAACCCCTCGCTACACAAGTCGTCAAAGGGTGATTCAGGCTGACAAGCACCATGACTGCATATTCAATCGAGCACATGTGACTGAGAACTCACATTTGAGAATTTCTAGTTTGGTTGGATTATGAATCTATTCGAGGTACTTGTAGAGAATTTCTAGTTAATCAAATTAATTAATAAACAAAATAATTTGAAAATACTAATTAGGCTAAAAATAACAATTAAAACAGAATTTAAAAAAAAAAAAAAAGTGTAATCCAATATGACACATAATTTATAAATAATAATTATTAATAATTGGGATTAAAGTAACACAAAAGTTCTTAAAAGCAACTGGTCCATACTGCAGTTTAGTTCTTAAAAACAAAACAAACGACGACGGAGGCGGCGGCGGCGGCGCAGTTTGGTTCAGTACAGTCACTGGGGAATTTTATTAAGCTTGCAATACGCATACTCACCGTACTTCTTCGTCTTGAACTTCGGCGGATTGTCTTCATCGACCAGTTTCGGATGAGGCCCAACTTCGAACTCCGCCGGTGGCTCCAAGAACACCGGCCACGATATCCTCGCCTTCTCCTTGTTCACCGTCGTCCTATGCAGCACGCTCTTGTACTTCCCATTACTCAGAATCTGCGAAATCAAGCTCCATTTTCACAAACCCTAGAACTTCAAAAAATGGGCATCAAATCAAACCTCAATTTTACCTCAATTTGATCGCCGATGTGGATGACGAGGGCGTTGGGGATGTAATTGACATCGTACCAATGGCCATCTTTGAACGCCTGGAGGCCTTGAACATCATTGGGCACAAGAATTGTAATGACCGACATGTCGGTGTGAGGAGCAACTCCAAGAGCTAGATCAGGGCGTGGACATGGTGGGTAGTAGTTGATTTTCATTAAATACACTAAATCATCTCCACCGGAACTCTGTTTCAGTTCATGTTCTTCAAGCCCCAGCCCCAGTGACAGGCTTCTAAACAGCTTATCCACAACCCCATGTAAATGCTTTCTGTACTCCTCGTTTGCAGCCCTGAATTCAGATCGAAACAGTTACGAATTAGAACCTTCTCCTAGGCCTATGAAGCCCTCGAACAGCCTCCTCTTGATCGAGTCTAGACTCTTTTTCTAGAGTCCTAGGCGTCAATATGGTACTCAAAGTACACCAGAGCCTCCCTTGAAGCCTATAACGCCTTCAAACAAACCTCCTCTTCATCGAGGTTCTACTCCTTTAGAATCTTCGAACAAAGTACATCGTTTGTTCGATACTTGAGTCACTTTTGACTACACATTTAAGGTTCATAGCTCTTTGTTCAACATTTGAGAATTCTATTGACATGACTAAATCAAGTGCATGACTCTAATATCATGTTAGAGATCACAATGGTATCATATTGTCTACCGGCATAAATTGTCGTGACTTTACTTTTGGTTTCTCAAAAAGCCTCGTATCAATGGAAGCGTATTCCTTTATCTATAAACCCATGTGTTAGATGAACACGACTTCTACAATGGTATGATATTGTTTACTTTGAGCATAAGCTCTCGTGGCTTTACTTTCGGCTTCCCCAAAAGGACTCACACCATTGGAGAGAGAGAGTATTCATTGATTATAAACATATGATCATTCCCTAAATCAGCACATCATCCATGATCATTCTCAAAATCACTCACCGAACCATCTCAACAGAAACAGAGTAATCAACAGAAATAGAGTAATCAACAGAAACAGAGTAATCAAGAAATTTAATAGAAATTGAATACCTGTAAGAAGGGGGTTTTTGAGGCCAGAATTTGAAGTTAATGGCAGACGGCGGCCAAATGATATGGAACAAATGGTCGACCCAATCCTTCTTTCCACCGACTTCCTTCTGGAGCTTAGTTCCATAGCCTTCGACGGATTTGGAACCAGGGGGCTTAGCGTACACCTCTTTCTCCTCTGTTGGGAGCTCAAAGAATTCCTTCCCAACGGCCTGCAAATGGGCGATTGCTTCATTGGGGATATCGTGGTTGATGATTTGAAACATGCCCCAATGGCGAGAGGCATCATCGATGGCTTGAATAACAGAGTGTTGATCCGGGTTGCTGAAATCGATGACCGGAACGGCGAGGGTTTGGCCCTTGACGGTGGTAATGCCAGGCTGCTCGGTCTCCTGGCGGATGAACTGGGCCGGGAGAGTGCCGGAGGAGAGCACGGCGGAAGCGATGTCCTGGACCTTCTCGAGCTCCATGGGTGTAGGTGGGTTTGGGGAGTGGGGTGATTGGGGGCTTTGTAGAAGGGTGCAGAGAGGTAGAAGAAACGTGGGCAGTTGTGGATCGTTCCATGTAACAACCAGCCCCAATAAATGAAGCCTAAATTACTTGTCTTTGTTGTCACATGAATGCCGATGCCCATTAAAACCAAACTTAATTGGTTACGATCGTTTTATTTCTTTTTCTTAATTCAATAAAAAGTATCATGCATTTTATTTCCAAAACAATATTCATAAATTTTCGTATTTAAACTTTTAAAATTTATAAAATACATCCAACTTTTAAATTTTTAAAAATTAAAAAATTTCTTTCCATTTTTTTATTTTTTTTATTTTAAATGATATTTATTTAAATGAGAATTTCTACTCTAATACACCACCTCTAAAAATAAAATAGATAAATGATTGATCTACTAAAAAAATATTCAAACTTAATAAAATATAAAGCCATACGTTATATTTACAAAATATATATATATATATATATCTTTCAAATGACTTAACTGAAAGGACAAAGAAAATATTTTCAGACATTTATATGTGCTAAACTATCTTTTAATAATGATCCTCGTTTAAAAAAATATTTTTATTTTTTAAAAAATTTGATCGAATATGGGAAGAAGAATTATGACTTATTAATACTATTAATGATATAGTAGGTAGGGAAGGTTTTATATGAAATGCGGACTTATTTTACCAAATCATTTATTGTGCCTAAAAAAAAAAATACTACCATGTTAATGGTCGATAAATGTTTTACCAACCACGAAACATTTTATTGAGACCATTAGTTAGAAATATAACATGGATCATTGTGTATTAATAATTTACGATTAAAAACTTATAATTTTATTAAGATTATTTATTTGATAATAATTACTAAAAAGGATGGTTTAATAAACTCAAAATTTTAATATTTATTTAGTTAAAATTATTTTAAAATTTTCCCTTAATAAAAATAAATTAAATTAATTATCTAAAATTAAATAATATAATCCCATATAATTATCTAAATAGTGTTTAATACTTGAATCAAATATTCGTATTTATATAAAATTTTGATAACAATATCTCTCAAAAACTAGGACGTTCATCTAATAATTTTTTTCGTTCTTTTGAAAATAATATCAAAATATAAGGTAGCCAACAAAAAACTTGGGTGAGGAAAAAATTAGTACAAGAAATCATTGCAAGATAATATATTAAAAATGCTTTGGCATCTTAAAATTTTATCCAAACACTACACATTTTGATTGGCAAAATTAACTTTGAGTACTAATTTATGAAACCACATCAGTGAGAACCCTTTTTTTTATTTTATCTAATGAACTAATTTATATTCGCAGATAGCATTCCATCAACATTTACAACACGGCCCACGATTTTAAATTGAAGAGTATTTTGTAGACACCCTTGTGTAAATGCACCATGGAAGCAGCCAAAAGCTTAGCCGCAGCACGAGCCACAGGCAGGTAGTGAACCTGGTTGTCATAGTTCAGATCACAGAACAGTAAGTAAATTGAATGAAAGAATAGAGGAAAAAAGTTCGAAAACAAGCATTGAACTTACTATGATCGATCCCTCGAACGTTGTCTAGACCACGAGGTGGCCCACGTGGACGACCACCATAAGGCCCTGACCCGGGACCTCCTGGGCCACCACCGTCCCATTTCTTGCCAGAACCAGATCCTTTTCTATAAGCCTCAGATTTTTCCATCTAGAAAGAAGCATGAAAGTTAATCTTTAATCCTATGATAATGGTTCTGAATACCTAACATTATTCACAAGACAACAAAGAACACCTTACCGAGAATAAGGTGGTAAAAAACACACCGATAATGTTTACAATGGCCCAAAAGAAATCAGTTATGGTTTTGAGACGCCAAAATGATCTCTGGGATTTCACAACGCCTACAAGATATCATGCAAGTGTATAGCTGGTTATTACATGCTAGGAATCAAGAGCACAGAAATACTCAATTTCATAGTTCAAAGAAACTATCAGATGAATGGTAACATGTCAAATCCACCTGGGAATAGCACACAGTTTATCAACCGGATATACGAATCGGAAAAAATGGGTCATTGTGCAATGTGAAAGCAATTTTAGCATCTCTTCAATCTCTTGAACATAAATCAATCCAAATAGAAAACAAAAAAAAAACAGTATCATACGGACAACTGTACATAGAGAAGAGGTGAACGAGATCATTAATGAAGTCATGCAAAGCAGGTGAAACTGAAAAAGGAAAGGAACACAGAGCTGTTTAATATGAAAGAGTTCACCAATAATGAAGTCATGCAAGGAACACAGAGCTGACTAGCTCCCCAATAATCTTGCCGTTCTAAGTACTCTGACAAAGATGTAAAACTGATGTACCAGGAGACAGGTAGCAGAGTGCAATAGGGATTCGCAGAGAGCTGTTTAATACTGGCAAATTTAGTATCAATTTATGCTTCGGAAACATGAACATCCCCCATGACTTAATATGAGAGAGTTCACCAGAAAGAAGAAACTAAAAGGAATTCCAAAAACAAGTTCTACCTAAATATTTGGTACATGCAATATTCACTTATCCAGAAATGGTTCTAGAGAATCCTGCTAAACGGAACAACCAAACGGAATTTCAAGCACGCATTGATACAATCAAAAGATTCCTGATAGTGTTCTCAGGTTGCACACACTTTTAAAGGTTCATTAAAAAAAATCAATATGACTTCAAGCCTTGTCCAGCACTCGAAGAGAGTGCAGAAAAACTTCCAAACCATGGAAATATATATATGTTAGCACAATGATTCAGATCAACAGCAATATAGAATAACAAAATTATAAGCTCGTGAAGATTTAAAAATCATAATATCTTCTCTCTCTACTGCTTGAAATTGTGATGATTTCACAAAATTTAATAAGAAGACACGAAGAACCTCCATAAGGTTTATAACATGGCTTCAAACATTAAGCATTAACACAACGGAGCCTGACTAACATAAAGCAACTAAATCAAATTTAAAAGAAAATATATCGATTCCTTCACCATATTTTCAAACCACTGATACTTGCGTCTACCATTATGAACTACCATCTTATAATACATTTTTAAATTTTATATTAAGCAGGTGCAATTTACAAGGAAAAGCAAAAAAGATCCCCTTAAAGCGAATGGTATAAGTTCTGCCTGAAGAAGTCAATAAGCATAGCCATTTTCCAGGCCTTTTTCATCATCGGTTCTATCCACTAAAACCGTAGAGACAGACAATAAACACGGAGTAGAACTAGAGTTGAAAAATTAGGAAAACGGTGTGAATTCATCCAAACACTCAAAGAAATAAACAAATGCCTTCATATCAGCTTATAAAAAAGGTACCATCAAAGTTGAAGTTGAAGGTTAGGATATAAACTCATACAAAAATTGTCAAGCTATGTGTCTCATCTAAGTTATCAAACGACTATAAATTTTCCGAATTTATCTACCACATTTCTCTATTTTTCCTATCATTCCACTAGATCGTAGAACCTCAGTCTCTTTCTAATATCATTCCACTAGATCGCAGAACCTCAGTCTCTTTCTAACTCGAATTCGAGAGTTTTCCCCCTCTTCATGATTAAATCAATGCCCTAGGATTATTTCCATTCCTGTGGTTATATCTTTGTGTACGATTTTTCCATTTGATAACATCAAATTCATTAAGTTTCCGGTCAAGAGATATGCAATCAGATCAAATTCTCACAGAATACCACGTCTTCCTGAAAAACCAACTAGATCTAACCTACTGAGCACAAAATCGAAATCAGAATCACCACAAAATGAATATTACCACGGAAATAGGAACAGGATTAAAAAATAAATACACAGACAATCCAAACACACAAAAACTCTAAAATGTTTCCAAATCCGAAAGTCATCAACCAAACTCTCAGAAGCGGAATCGAAAAATAACAGATTAGAAACCGAGAGAGAACCTCGTTCAACGTACGCCATGGGAGACTTTCCAGAGCCTTCTCGGAGTCGAAGAGAAAGAGAGCGATATTCTAAAAGATGGTTTTGGATCGACCGCAAAATTCCGCCCCTTTTATACGACGATTTGCGCGGATTTTGATTGGCTAAAGCTACGTCATAATTAAGATTTTATTTTCTAAAATCTAAGTTTGTTATTCAACAATCCTTGACACAGTCAACGTCGCCCATAAAAAAAAATATAATTTTTAATAATAATTTAGTCCTTAAAATAATAAAATTGATTTTAAATACTTTAAAAAAATGTAACCAATAAGAATTTTAATTAAGTAATTTTCATAAATTAAAAAAAGCATAAATGGAATTTATTTCCACCAAAATAGTGAATTGGATGATGAGGATGACCGGAAGTAGACGGTGGAAGACGTCACTCAGAGAAGGACACGTGTCAGTGAACTGGCTAATCTTACCGGTCAGGTGACTAAACAGCATTAGAAAGAAAGAAAAGGAGATGAATAGAAACGGAAAGAAGTGGAAAAAGGGCGCGAAGTGGGCGCCATTGTCTTCGCCGACCGTTCATCGCGTCCCATTCTTCTTGTACAGTCTTACCAACACTAGCGATTACTTTCTCAGCTCTCTTTCATGGCTGCTGTTTGATTCATTTATCATTTTCTTCTGTTGTGTTCTTGATATCCATTTCCGAAGTCGGAAGATTGTCTTGTTATATCTTTCAAATTCGTTTGGATTTGAGGTTTTTTTTGTGGATTGTTGCCATTTCTTGTTCCGTTTGATTCTTCTTGCGTCTTCATAATTATGAGGGGATCTGTTGAGCAATCCACTTCCGAGAGGAACGAGGATGGCGGAAAGGAGTGGAAGAAGAAGGATCGTTCTAATTGGCGGTCTGAGCAGAAGGCCTCTATTTGGAGGGCAGGTGTTCTTCTCTTTTTAACTTGTTTTGCTTGATTTTAGTCTTAATTCGTGGGATTTTGCCGAATATGGATGTACTTTGATATATGGAAATTGTGACGGGGAA